TCTCTCTCTCTCTCTCTCTCTCTCTCTCTCTCTCTCTCTCTCTCTCTCTCTCTCTCTCTCTCTCTCTTCTCCCTCCTCTCTCTCTCTCTCTATCGCTCTCTCTCTCGCTCTCTCTCTCTCTCTCTCTCTCTTTCTCTCGCTCTCTCTCTCTCTCCCCCCTCTCTCTCTCTACACGTTTATCTCCATGCACTCAACATGCATACTTTCCCTACACCGTTCTCTCCCTTCAGTCATGACAGCACATATATTGTTGATGCAGGCGGGGCTTCATCTCTCTCCTACACCTTGCTTGCCCCACCTGCACTCTATGACCTCACGTCTTTAATACAGGAATGAATAATTCTCCCTACAGCTTTCTGTCCCTATAGTCACCAGGTGATCTAGTTTTTTTTTCTATAATATTCTCTCCCGACAGTCGGACAAGTGGCCTAGTCCTTCCTGTACATACACCTCGCTCGCTCTGCACTCGTGTCCGCATGCACACACGCGCGCCCACACACACGCGCGCACGCACGCACGCACGCACGCACACTCACTCACGAACGCGTCCGTCTGCTTACCGCGACCTGCTGGATGACGTGGTTGATCGGTTCGAAGACGGACTGCTCCATCTTAGGGAACTGCTTGAAGCCGGTCAGGTTGACGGTGGTCACGGTCATCGTTAGAGCTTTCAGCACCTGCTCCTCGACCTTGCTCTGTTTGACTTGCTCGTCCGGGTTCTGATAACAAAACACACAACATAGACGTGCGTACCCGTACCATAGAAATAATGTACTAGTTAGACGAGTATCTAGATGTATTTTTTAGTATCCCAATATATTTCTATTGTACGCACGTAGGTCGCGATGCCGGACACACGCGTAGGTGTGATGCGCATACAAATGATGAGATTCACACAGATTTTGTTATGTTTATTTCATTTGTAGAAGGAGTGTGCTTTAATAAAGATATGTCTGTAATTTGATATATTCAAGGGTTATCTTTTAAATGACTTACAAAGTTAGGTGGGCCGTCTTACCCCACCTTGCCCTACGTTCGAACGGGAACGATACACGTGGCCAGTGAAATTCAGAAGGGTGTTGCTATCCCCGGGCGTGGAGGGAGGGTCACGTGACACAGTTGACGTATACTTCAAAATCATTACTCATCCGGTAACGCTAACTGCAACACCTCCAACGCTAACCATAACACTAAACATATATATCTCGGAGCGCTATATATAGGTATTGGGATCCACAAAAATTAATCTATGGTGTGGGGACAGAGATCATGATGCAAAAATCCTAACCCTAACCCTAACCCTAACCCTATCCCTATCCCTATCCCTAACGCTAACCCTAATCCTAACGCTAACCCTAACCCTGATCCTAATCCTAACACTATCCTAACACTAGTGCTGCCACGTTGCGGTCACCTCCCTCCACGCCCGGGGGATAGCATTACCCAATTCAAAATGGCGGCCATGTTGAAATTCAAGATGGCGGCAAGATACCACGTCGATGGAGATGGGTACCCAATCTCATATGAATGTACAGGGCCGTAGGCTGAGCAAATTCCTAAGTGGGGTCACAATTTTATGACCCAACTGTGTAATGATGAGGGACGGGCGCAGCTATTGATCGACGTCCATAGTGTGGTAGGGCTGGGTCTGAGACAAGACTTTCACGGATAAGTGAACAAAAAATCACGTTAGGGTTATTTACGATTATTAGCTAATCTTATTTTTATATTTTTGCTACAAAATCTAGGGGGCAGCTGCCTCCTTTGCCACCCCCACACGCTACGGCCCTGATGTACATCTCTTAAACTACATGTGTGCCAATTGTCATGCCTTTGTGACAAAAAGCGTACCGGTACAATTCATCTGATTTATGGCTCTTAGCTCCTGTACTAAAATGACATCGGCTTTCGTCGAGCTCGCATGTCGCAAATGTATGATGAGATTTACTGTGCCCGCAGCACAGAAACACAACTATAGAAAGCGTGGTAATTGTAGCAGCCATTGTAGCAGATTAAACAAACAGACTGCGCGGCAGGCTTGTCGGATTGCGAAAACAACTATCACGATTTCAGTATTAGGCCTACCTAGGAAGACACCCCCCCCCCCATTCCCCGAGGAGTCGAGTTAGGAGTAAAATTTTCCTCAAACAACAAATGCACATCGTACTTTAAATTGCTTCAAATACGTTACTTTACTTTAAATTGCTACAATTACTTTAAATTGCTTCAAATACGTTACTTTACTTTATATTGCTACAATTACTTTAAATTGCTTCCAGAAATAGCAGGAGCTGAATAGCAGATGGATCCAGTCAGGCGATGCATACATACAAGAGGGTATAAAGAAAGAAATACATACAAGAGCGTACCTTCTTAATACGCTCTTGATACATATATATAATAAACTGCCGGGCTGGAGACATAGCATTCATTATTGGCGCACCACAACGAAACGCAGGCTGATTGCACCTACACAATGCACAACTCGAGGCACCACTTGCAAATTGTTCTCATATCGTTCTCGCCGATCACATCTAAATATTATACCCGCGCAAGGCTCACTATAATGATACAGTTAGAAATTGCAAAATTGCAAAATTGCATAGTAGTTCTCGAGTAAATTTCCACAGAGTAAACCGTACACTACATATGCTAGCGCTATACCCTGAGAAGTAGAAGTAATGAAGTGGAGATTGTGTAGGCTACAACTTAATTGGTAATTTCCGTATGGTGGTTATCAAGTTCTTACCGCATCTCAAGTGTTGTAACCTGCTTATAATAAATCATGATCGGCGTCGTAATATATGCCTTAATTGCTCATTTCTTAATTATTATAATCACTTTAAACTGCTGTGATGAAGTTCTATTATAAACAAATTTATCGTGAAATTTAAAGCATTAGATGTGAGATGAAAGCATGAAATCGACTGATAAATTTCAGGCACACACGCTCCCACACACGTACGCCGCACACACGTGCACGCCCGCAAGCCATGTCCATACGTCCACGAACATACATGTACACGTGATGCCATATATGCAGACACACATGTACTCGCGTACGCACGAAGCCAGTGTGCTCGCTTGCGCACTTACCCAGCCACTCACCAACCTACACACGTACGCAATCCATACAACATAACTAGAAGAAACACGCAAGGTATATAGGAAAGTGTGATAAGCCGAGCGACAACGTTTAAATGCCAGTCGTCTGCGAAATTCTGTATATTCGCAGCTGCTTCTCTGTACCATCCCAGCAACAACAAAAACAGCACCTATCAACAAGAAATCTGTTACGTGATCACTACGTGAGCAAGCACAGCCTACCATCCTCATAAACACGAGAGGAAACATCCGCATTCTCATAAAATGTTCCGCAATATATATTAATATTAAAACTATTATTGAGGCTACGTGAATAGACCTGTCATCCGTCCGCAAAGCCGCCCGCATGTCATTGTCGGCAAGCTTCACATGCCTACTGCTGCGCGATAGATAGCTGTCTACTTGCGGGTTTATATTATTATATCGAACAGTCAGCGACAGCTATATGGACGTTACGAGGTGCTTGAGTTGTTGGTAAAATATTGATATGGCCTCAGTGTACTACACACACACAGCATGTTTAAATTTGATGACTTCCGTGTGTAGGTAGAATGTATGAATCAGTGAGTTCGGCGGGTATAGTAAGCCAAGGTGAGCTTACGCACTATTATCAGTTACTGCGAATGGCTTGGGTTACATATATAGGTAGATGGGGGTATCGCTTAGGCCGAATACGTGTTCCAATGCTATCTGTATTCGTTATTCATGCTACTTACTACGGCTGAAGGGGTCGTTGTCGTATCAGGTACTACATATATGTATCCGAGGTACTCTTGCATATATGTATACACAAAGTGTACCAGACTTGTACTGCAGACGTGTACCCTAACCCTATCCCTAACCCTAACCCTGACCCTAACCTAACCCTAAACATACCTCATATAAAAATATAAACATAATACTAAACAACCTAAAACTACCTCGGGTACATATATGTAGTACCTGATACGACAACGACTCTTCGTGTCTTACTGCGTGTGAAGACTTGAATCGCACTCACGTAAGTCGATAAACTAGAGCAGGTGTTTCTAACGCGTACAATCTCGCTGCGAAATGGCATTTTCGTGTGCGTGCTGGGAAAAGCTTGTTTACAGAAGAAAAAAAAATTATGGAAGAACTTTAGAGTTAGCAACACATACGTGTCACATGCAACGTGAATTCAAACGGTCGCATTGTGATTTCTAAAAAACACAACAACTGCTGATTTATGGGATTTTCTTTTGCGCATGTATGGTCGCCAATGGGAAATGATTTCCCACCGTAATATCAGGAGTGTCATATTATCAGAAGTAGATAATAGGGAATTATTTATCTACTTAACTTACTTATCTTTTACTTACTATCTATTATCTACTTCTGATAATATAGACACTCTATATTATGTCTGTATAGTCTATTATATATATAGTATATATAATAGTATATATAGTATATATATAGTCTATATATATTATCAATAGCTAATAAATCCCTTTTATTAGGTATTTATTAGCTATTGATATTATGACACTCCTGGTAATATATCACATACGTAATACCCATATATATATATATATATATATATATATATCTAGACACTAGTCTTTATATAGAGTCCAAATATATAGTGGATTCTAACTATATAGTATATTATTGCTATGGTAATATCACGCACCTGGAGGCTCTCCAGCTTGGAGGATATGACAACATCAGGCTGGTGGGCGAAGCTAACGGTCATGTGCATGTCCTGCTGCATACTGCTGAATCGTACGTGCAGCTGTAAGAACACAAGAGAAGCCACGCTGTTACAATATACGGCACATCCGAAGCACAGAGGATGGCCACTTTGAGAAGGGGATGAAGACTGAAACGGGTCATCGTATTTTTTCATCATTTAATCATTATTTCCGTGTGCGCGGTAGGCTAGTTACCTCGTTGACTGAATTTGGTGTTTTTAACTAAAGGTTCACAATCCTTTCACACATCGACCGAAGTATATATATATATATATATATATATATCGACATACATCGGAACGCTGTAGTATGAGACTGATTGCTCTACTCTGATGTTATATATATATATATATCTAAAGCTATGAATTATGATGCTAATGTGATCGTTCTCCATATCTTGAAAGGATAATATTAAAGGACATTATTAATGACTAAAGTATATATGACGCGTGGCTCACGACCTGCTGGTTAAAAGCCTCATTTGTATGGCCTGCGCACGACGACTGATGTGAGCTATTTCAGTGAAGTGTTCAAAGTAAATCGGAGGAAACTGAATAAGAGCTCATGCTGTCAGGCCTCAGACCCGAAATAAAAACGAGCGGACTTCGTCTCTAGCTCTGATGGCGTATCGGCTTGTGAAGGCCTTTAATCTTATGAACAGAATACACATACATATTACACATAAAAAGTGACATACACATACACACATACATACAGACACATACGCACACACACATACATACATACATACAATTAAGTGCTAATAATACCTAGGTATTATTAGCTCTTGATACATACACATACGCACACACACACACAAATACACCCACACACACACATATGCAACGCACGACACGCCACGCCCCGCTCATGCACGCCACGCACTCACATACAGCACACACACACAAACACAACAACACACACAGCACACACACACACACACACACACACCACATACACACACACAAACACACACACACACACACACACACACAACACACCCACACACACACAACACAACACAGACCAGGGAGAGAGACCACATATAAATGGTGAGTATAGTCAACTTTTCTTTATTGAACCGAGTGGAACATACCGTGAGCGGGAAAACACATTGCAACAAATATTTCCAGCTCACATAAAAACACATGGCCGACGAGACACTAGATGCGAGACGCTATTACAGCGCCATCTTACGTAACATGCGGTTCTAATCTTTACGGGAGCACGGCCAGGTAAACCCATATTAGCAAAATCACAAATGACAAATGTCATTATTAACCCCTGATATTAGGGAAATCTTACAGAAAGTACAGGTATGATAGCTGTACTGTAGCCAGGCGAGCGGTTACTTGCTTTCCTGTTCAAACTGAAACACAGGCATTCAAGAAGAACTGCCACACAGCAAACTGTGAAGCCAACGACACATACTAGAACGCTGCGCGATCACGCTGCACGACCAATAAAATTATTCTTAGCAATGACTAATTTTCACTTGTTTGCTTTCCATATTAGGTACCATACACATGGTGAGTATATAATCACAATGGTTACGTCTCTAATAGTTTTACATACTGAAAGATATTGTTAGCTGCATATATGCGAATTCACCCCCCCCCCCATAAAATCACTTATTATAAACACAAATGACAAATTAAGAATGAAAACAATCTCTTCACAATGCAGTTTTGCTCTTTCAGGCTTCAATTCCCTGTCATATTAAGTCATTATTGATCCTCGTGCTGTTCGATATTGACGGGAAAGACGCCGCAGCCTGCGGTTGCCGGTAATCGATGCCTTGGGCATTTCTTTGCGTATTTGCGTAGATAATTCATGGCGAAGACTGTCTGAACGGGCAGACTTCACGTTGCTGTGGGCTGCTTTCGGCAGTCAGTACAATTTATCTTGCTCTGGTTACTACCACACGTCACCAGCGACCAGAAAATTTTCGAAGGTTTCACGCTGCAATGTGTTGCCTGCATAATATTTCGACGCGTGGAAACAGATGGGCCCTTAGACACATTGTATGATTAGAATTTGTATGATGATTATATTTAGAATATGTATGATTCACAACGACGAATGCTGTAAATCTATTGTGTTTGCGCAGCCGTGCACTGAGCATGCGTGGAAATAGTTGGCAAAAAGGTTGGAAAAGGGTTAGGCTTCATTTCAACCGTTGAGCCTGGTTAGACTCAAAATGATTGATCTACTTCAAACTACTATAACATAGTAAAGCCCAACGGAATAACTGATTTAGGTTATGATTGATGGGATGGGAAGACGCTGCGAGATGTGATTTCCTTTGCAGTAATAATCTAACTCGGGCGATTTGTGCAAATTCACTCAGATTTTGAGACGACGTTGAGACGCTGAGATGTTCTGCATGAACCCCAGTTGCTTAACGTATCCATCGCTACACCTTATCAAGGGCGTATAAAGAAGGCCTTCTTAATACGCTCTTGGCCTTATGTGCTGGGCAGCCAACCTCCATCCAGTATTTATACATATGCGCACAGAAAAAAACTGGTTACGTGCACAATATACACTGTGCGGCTATATCAAGCGAATTAATCTGGAATCGAGATGCAAGAAAAACGACTGTGAACTGATGATATTTTTTAATAAGGATGTTGAGAGCATTAGACGCATGATTCCCACGATAAGCTCAGCTGTTATGAGATCTTACAGAAAATACAGATGTGGTTTTGCACGCGCGTATGCGGCCACACGCACGCGCGCACGCACTGTGACGCACACACGCACGCGCGCACGCACACACACACGCGCGCACGCTTGCATACACGCACGCACACACACACACACACTCACACACACACACACACACACACACAC